GTCTCGATGGTAACTTTCGTAACTTTGTTTCCCTCTACACTTTTTCTTTTTCCCCAGCATTTTATTTTTATTTCAGACTTCCAGCATCTTTTGTTGTTTTGGTTTTTTTACAAATACAGTCCTCCAGTTCGTAAGTTGATCTGTGATGTACTTGCAGGATATGCAATTGATGCCTAGTAGCTGATTTTGATAATGACATTTCGTGTGCCTTTTTTGAATTTCTGTAGCTTTCTCTTGTGTATCACAATTTTCTAAGGGACATGTTGGTCTTGTCCATTGCATACTTTTAAGCTGGATCTAGATGCCTCCCTCATTAGTTAAGGCTCTATGGTCATAGGTGGGAATATGGAATTCACATCATGACCTTATTTCATGGTGGAGCAAGATAAAAGGTCTAAATGGCCCAACTCTGTTCCTAATTTGTATATTTCTTCTCTGCTTTTTTTTTTGTGCTTTTTTTAACATCCTCTAATTTCTGGTTGAGCTGTTTTTTTTTGCCAGTATTCACCTTTTTCAAAGAAAGCCTCCACATTCTTGTCCAGCTGAGTGGAACTTGCAAAGGATTGATCCGATTCATCTACATGGATTTTCCTCAGTTGCCTGTATTGCCAGGGTCTGTACACCTTTGCCACCTTTTTGGAGTTAGTTGTGAATCACCAATCGTGTATTAATGATGCAAAATGACTGCACGCCCTGTGGTACAAGGTATAAAGTCCTCCTGAGGACTCATTCTCTCCTTCTCAGAATGAAGGTTCTGGTTGACCAAAGGAGGAGATCTGAATTTGACACGTAAAGTCATAATTGCATTTTATGTTAACATTTTGTAGCTTAATTTAAAATCATGTCTGCCAGATATTTTTTAATTAAGAGTTTGCTATCTCTCCAGAAGAGTGAAAATGTCGCTTCTTATTTTTCACTTGCTGTGACCTGGACAATTTGTGACTGCTGACTTCTACTACTGTCCTCTTCCGCCTTCATTTGCAGTGCCTTCAGCAAGGAGCAAAAAAAATTCAGTGATTGTAGGTCAGATATTCACTTGATATCTTGAATGTATTTGGTGAAGGTAAATGAGATAAATACATCACATTACCAATCACTATGCATGGTTAAATGGAAGTTTTTTTTTTAATTCATGGGATGTGGGCATTGCTGGCTCTGCCAGTATGTATTGCCCATTCCTATGTATCATGAATGATTAGTTGTGGCTAAAATTTGAGATATAAGGAATGATGTGGTGGAGAAATCTTGGCTAGACTGACTGAAGTATTAACCCTAAGACCAACGTAGGGTTAATGTGAGTAACAATGTAAGTAATGGGTTAATGTAAGTAAGCATGTAAGTTGGTCAATAAATCTCATTCTCATTCTCATTCTCTTTCCCTCTCCCCCTCCCTGAGTAGCTGATTAAACCATTTATTGCATTGCACCCAGAACTGATACACCATGCTGTTCCTCTAATTCACCTTCTCCCTATTTCCAACAATCCTTTTTTCATTAGTTGGGAAGCACAGCAAATAGAGTGGGGGGCAGCGATGGAAAAATGTCCCTATTGCAACCATTCAGCAATTCCATAGATGCATATTCAGAATTGGAGCTTGCTGTTTCCCTTTTGACCATCCAATACTTTTAGTTTTTCCATTGCATTTCTGTTACAACTCGTTGTAGGTGTGCAATGGCTTGGAGGTGCAAAGCTAGGAAATCAGTGTTTGCCTCAATCGAGATTCAAGCAGAGTAGGCTTGAGTTCTATATTTTTCATGCAATTCCAGCCCCTTCAATCCTCTCACTTGGAAGCTCCCTTTATGTTAATAAGGAGTCTTGATGTTTTGTTTTTTTGTTGGAAGATTTTGAGAAGTTAAATGTACTTTGAAATACAAAACCACCCACAGCAGCTCCGATAACTATAAGTTTAACTTATTCACCAGAGTTTCAGCTGTTTGCTTTGATCAGCTGTTTAGTGAACCAGTTGAGATCTTGCTGCAGCTTGAGAGCTGTTTCTGATGTCAGATTTTTTTTTTAAATGTTGAGTTCTTTAAACCCCAACTTTTAAATTTTGCACATGGAAACTGACAAGAAGTATTGGTTTTGCAAGTGTTTTTTTTTGTTAACTTTGACCCATTTCTATGAGATCTCAAGATAAGTACCAAATTACCAGACTTTTGGGTGTTGTAATGAAGAGTTTCAATAACAAACTCTTGGCAACACACTCAGTAGAGAAGAATATTAAAATTAAGAAGGTTTGAAAATTAAAAATTGGATTTGAAATAATTCATCAGCCTTGTTTATATTGCAAATATATTATAAAACACAGCTTCTGCTTTATCTCCTTCAGCACATTGTCAGAGATACCTACAAGGCTGTTTTGATCTGTAAGACCTGATACTGCAGTGATGGAAAGAAATAAATTTTAAACTCGGCTACATATTAGCTATTTCCCAACTGCTTGCTTCCTAATCTAACTAAACTGAATCATGTGATGAAAGCTCATGATTTACTTTTTTTTTGGAGCTTGTGTGCTAAAGTGGGCAGAACCATGTGAAACTTTAAAATTTCATGTGTGTATACATACGTGAAGGACATAGTTTTATTTCATTTTATATTTGTTCTGAGAGCACTGGGTGGTCTGGAATTTTAATAAGGCATTTAAATGAAATCCTTGAGGTGAACAGTTCAGTGTTTTACAAATCAATGATAGAATAAGGATGAGTGGTGGGAAATAAGCTGTTGTCTCTCAACAATATTCCTATGATACAGGGAGACAGAAACAAATTATTTCAGAAATACTCACTAATATTCTGGGTGGTTACGTATGCCAGTTTCTTTCACCGAGAAGCAAATTATTCAGGGTGGAAAAAGCCATTAACATTTACATTAAATTGACGCAGTTTAGCAGTCTCCAAACATTTGGACAAAAAACAAAAGGCAAGTCCTGAGTGGCTTAAGTTAGGAAACGAATTTCCAGAACCAGAAGGCTTTGGTGCCTTAGAACAAGACATCCTTAGAAGGCTTTTGACTTGCTTTAAGTAGCAAATAAACTGTTAGCAGTTTGTTTACGGATCTTGTTAACAACATTCGCAAAAGAAGGAGTATCCAGTGAATACAGAAATCTTCTGGAACGAAGCCAAGTATGGCCTTGCCAACTGAACCAGGAACCCATCTCTTGCTCTGTTTATTTTCATTGTGTGAGTGTTACATAGATTGAATAAAATCCTTTTTATGGTTTTGTGTTTTTGGAAGTCTTGGTTGAAACTGTAAAACGGTTGCTCTGAAAGAATGGAGATTGGAGATTTGTTTTAAGTAAACACTTTCTGATTTAGAGCTTTCAGAATAAATTTTTTACACTAATGAAACCATTTTCTTAACATTTATAAAACATTTATTTGAAGCTGAGGAAGTCTAAGATCATAAAGAAATATCGATTCTGGAGACTGGGAATTGAAGCTCTGTTGAATTTAAACCCAATAGATGTGATAGAGAAGGAGATTCTCTCTGGTATAGTATTTTTGGGATTAATGGGATTGTATGTTATTGTGTCTTGTTTGAAGGTAGTTTGGCTTATCTATTTTTAACATTTTCTTTTGAGTAACACAGTTGTCTCATTGTTAAACCACATATGCATCATTGTGTGGTTGTGCTTCAAATGGAAGGCCACCTCGTTAAAACAACAAAAAAAATCTAACCAGCAATGTATCAGTGTGGAATCCGAGTTGACCATTAATAACATCAGCTGGGATCATAACATTCCCAACATAATGCCAGTTGATGGCACTGCCGTTGCTTTGTCAGTGTCCTTTAGACTTGAGTTCTAGTGACCTAGAATTTTGTATTTAGTAAATTTTGATCTATTTTCTGTCAGCTAGACAGTTATTGCATTAGAAAAGTGTTTCTTCCTGCTGTTTTGTTAATATATAGCAATTAAGTTTTTGATCAACTGCCTAATACCTTTGCTGAAAGAAACTAATACTTAAACCTTGTCACATGACTCCCAAAGACTTGTGAAATATTTGCTGTCAAATATATATTATTGCAAGAATTCTTGACTGGAGTAGTTACATTTTCACCATGGACCTTAACAGAACTTTACCAAAACTTCTCACTCTAAGAAAGCTGTCCATGTGTAACCACAGGCCAAAGAATTACGAATATATCTTTTGTCAGATGTGTGGACTTGTGCCTTGCTTATGGACATGGAAAACTAAAGTCTCTAATTGGAAAGTCTCTAATTAAAATTAAAAAGGAAGGATAGGCTCGATTTTATTGTACAATGTTTGTTTGAAAGCTGCTTGTTATAATTTAAGGAAGCTATCCTCTTGGACTCCAGTTGCTTGACAAAGTTCTTGTTTAGAATTCAAGTTTTGTAGCAACATTTTTATATATTGAATTGTAAACATTACATTGAATCTAAATGTGTGCAGTGGTAATCTGATTTGAGTTAGACTGCATAGAAACTCAGTCAATTATCATTAGGTCTATTCTATGGATAAAGATATTCCTCTTACTTCATGCAGGAGAATTTCTAAAACATTTGGAATTAAATCTAGTGGGTTGTCTTATTTTTGGCACAATGTATCTCTTTTTTTTTGAACAGTCATCAGTTGTGTCACATGATGATGGTCTCAGTCTCTCTTTTTTTTCTGTCATTATGAATCAATCCCTTCACTTCCCTACCATGACATTGATCGTGCAGTCCTCCTCCTGGTTTTCCTCCCCATCTGTTCTGGCAATCCCATTCCATTTGGTCTTTGTTGGACTCCCCTTACCTTCGTGTGAGTGTGTGACCATCTAACTATGCTATTGTCACAAACCATCAACAGCTGCCAAGTGCACTGCATGGTCTGGTCCTTTCTTGATGTACCAGGCACTGTGTGCCGAACAAATGTGCTCCTTAAACTGACCCTTCTAAACAGTTTCGGTCTGTTTAGACCAAATGTAATCATGGATTTATGTTCTATTTAATGAAGTCACAAACTTCTAAATTTGGGTGCTTCTTTCTTTTATTGAAGGTTACCCCTGGAAGCAAGGCATCCTCAGCTAATCTTTGCCCTGGTGATGTTATTGTGGCTATCAATGAAGACAGTACAGAGAATATGAACCACCTGGATGCTCAAAACAAGATCAAGGCCTGCACAGACCAGCTCACTCTCTCTATTAACAGGTCAGTACTGTCATTCAAGTAAATAATTTTAAGGTCAAATTATGTGAAATGTTCTCAGCAGGGACAAAAGTGTCAAACATAAACTTTAAAAAGACAATCGGATTTTGTAGTTGTTGCCGGTGAATTCTCCAACATCACTTGTTTCTACCTTCCTTCTCTGATTTACTTGAATATATTTTTGCAGGGAATTGTTCTGCTTCACTGGCAAAATTGTGTACTGCCGATTTTTCCCATAGCACGAACCCCATTAGCACTGGAGAGAATACTTGAATCTCTGGGCAAATTAATATTTTTAGGAGCAGGATGGAGTATACAAAATATGGAAACTGGCAAGAAGCAGGGGTGGGAAAAACAAAAGCACACATGGATGCACATACATACACTGTCATTGCAAGTCTCTCTGCCTAGTGGGATCATCACTAGATTGTTAATCTAGAAACTCTCTGTAAATGTTCTGGGGACTGGAGTTTAAATCCTATCATGGTGAATGATGGAATTTGAATTTGATTAAAATTATATGTAATTTATGATCTACCGATGGTTTCATGGTCATTGTTGATGGTTAGAAAAACACCTCTGGTTCACTAATGTCCTTCAGAGAGGGAAATCTGCCACCCTTACCTGGTCTGGCCTACTTGTGACTCCAGACCTACAGCAATGTGGTCAACTCTCAACTGCCCTCTGCAATGACCCAGCACAGTTGTAGAAATTTCTTAGCAATTGATACAAAAAAAAAATCAGATGGACCACCTGACATCAACTAGGCACTGGAAGCGACAACAGCAGAAATGACTTAACCCTGCAAAGTGCTCCTTACTAACGTCTGGTGGGGCTAGTCCCAAAATTGGGGGAGCTGTCTTAGACTAGTACAGGAACAGGCTGAAATTCTTAATAAGACATAATTCTGTGAGTACGACTGTGTCCCATACACCAACATCACCATCCCTGGATTGACCAGTCCCACTGGCAGGACAGGCTCAGCACAGGTGGTGGCACAGTGGAATACAGTTATGAGGGAGCTGCCTTGGAAGTCCTCAGCATTGACTCTGGGCCCCATGACATCAAGCAAAAATGGATTTTTAAAGTTTGTTTGATACTTTTGTCCCTGCTGAGAACATTTCACGTAAAGGTTGACCTTTTTAAACATGGACAAGGAAACCTAATGATGATTGCCACCTACTGTCCTCAGTTGATGAATCAGTACAGCTCAATGTTGAACAACCATTGGAGGAGGAGCTGAGGATGGCAAGGGTGCAAAATGTACGCGTTATTGGGGGATTTCAATGCCCACCACCATGAGTGGTTCAGCAGTAGCAGTAGCACTACTGATAACAGCTGGTCAGGTCCTAAAGGACACTGCTGCTAGACTGGGTTGAGGCAGGTGGTGAGGGATCCCTTGGGAGTGTGATAACCGTACTCTATGTTTATCCTCATCTGTCTGCTAGTTGCCGATACATCTGTCCATGACCGTATCGGTAAGAGTGACCACCGTGCAGTCCTTTTTTGTGGAGACAAAGTGCTGTCTAGAATAATGTCAATCGTGCTGTCCGGCACTGTCGCTGCTAAATAGGATAGGCTTCATACAGATCTAACAAACCCAGACTCCATGAGGTACTGTGGGTCATCAACAGCAGAATCGATCTCCCAACACAATCTCTGCAACCTCTTGGCCTGACCTAGCCCTCGCTTAACCATTACCACCAAACCAGGAGAGTACAGGAGTGCATGCTGGGAGCAGCACTAGGCATACTTGAAAGTGAGGTATCAATCTGGTGAAGCTGCCAAACAACACCACAAACAAGTGGTAGATTATGCTAAGGGATTTCACGGTCAACAGATCCAGTCTAAGCTCTGCAGTCTTGCCACATCCAATTGTGAAGGGTCATGGACAATTACACAATTCACTGAAGGAGGATACTCCACAACATCCCCATCCTCCATAATGGAAGACGCCAGCACATAAATGCAAAAGATTAAGGCTGAAGCACTCGCTGCAATCTTCAGCCAGAAGTACCAAGTGGATTGAGCCATCCTGACCTCCTGCAGTGGTCCCCAGCATACAGATACCACCTTTCAACCAATTCAATTCACTCCATGTGTTAGCAAGGAACAGTTGGAGACCTTAAATTTTGCAAAGGCTGTGGAGCCTGACCACCACCTGGGAATAGTACTGAAGCCTTGTGCTCCAGAACTTGCCATGTTCCAGTACAGTTATGACATTGACATCTATCTAGCAATGTGAAAACTGGCCCAAGTATTTCCTAGATACAGAAATCGGGACAAATCTAATCAGCAGATTACTGCCGCTCTGTCTACTCTCAATTATCAGTAAAATGATGCAAGGTGTCATCAAGGGTGGCACAGTGGCCCAGTGGTTAGCACTGCTGCCTCATAGCACCAGGGGCCTGGGTTCGATTCCACCCTGCGACTATATCTGTGGGAGTTTGCACGTTCTCCCAGTGTCTGTGTGGGTTTCCTCCGGGTGCTCTGGTTTCCTTCAACAGTCCAAAGATGTGCAGGCCAGATGGATTGGCCATGCTAAATTGCCCATAGTGTTTAGGGATGTGTAGATTAGGTGGGTTGTAGGGGCATGTGTCTGGGTGGAATGCTCTGAGGGTCCGTGTGGACTTGTTGCGCTGAAGGGCTGGTTTCTATGTTGTAGGCATTCTAAGTCTAACTATGTCTAGCAGAGCTGTCAAACGGCACTTCTCAGCAATAACCACCTCGGGGACACCAGGGCCACTCGGCTCCTGACTTCGATTACAACTTTAGTTCAAACGTCGACAAGAGCAAAATTCCAGAGGGATAGCCATTGGTATCAAGCCTGCATTTGACAGTGTGACACAAGGAGCCCTGTCATAACCTGGCACATATGATCTTTGTTATTGGAGATTAATCATCTCAGCTCCAGGACATCTCTGCTGGAGTTCCTCAGGATTGTGTCCAAGACCCAACCATCTTCAGATGCTTCATCAATGACCTTCCCTGCATCATAAGGTCAGAAGTGGGGATGTTCTCCAATGATTTCACAAAGTTCAGCACGATTTCACAACTCCTCCAATATTGAAGCAGTCCAGCAGTCCATGTTCAAATGCCACAAAATCTGGACAATATCCAGGCTTGGGATGATGAGTGGCAAATAACACTCATGCCACTCCAATGCCAGGCAACGATCCTCTCCAATTAGAGAAAATCTAACTACTGCCCCTTGATTAGTCAATAGTGTTACTAATACTGAAATCCACACTGTCAACATCCTGGGTTACCATTGATCAGCAACTTAACTGGACTCACCATATTTAAAAATAGAGGCTCCAAGAGCAGGTCCTCTGCAGCGAAGCTCTCTCGTGCATGCTCTCCTTCTGACTCCCCAAAGCCTGTCCATCACCTACAAGGCACAAGTCGTCATGTGATGAAATTATGGGGAGGTGATGGCCTAGTGTTATTGCTGGACTGTTAATCCAGAGACCCAGATAATATTCTCGGGACCTGGGTTTGAATCCTGCCATGGCAGATGGTGGAATTTGAATTCAATACATATCTGGAATTAAGGGTCTAATAATAACCATGAATCCATTGTCAATTTGGAAAATCCCATCTGGTTCACTAATGTCCTTTAGGGAAGGAAACTGCCATCCTTACCTGGTCTAGCCTACATGTGCTCCAGACCTACCAGCAATGTGGTTGCCTCTTAACTGCCCTTTTAGGCAATTAGGGATGGGCAATAAACGCTGCCTAGCCAGCGACACCCTCATCCCCACTTGCCTGGATGGGTGCAGCTTCAACCATATTCGAGCTTGACACCATTCATGACAAAGCAGCCCACTTGACTAACACTATATCTAGAAACATCCTCTCGCTCCACTGCCCATGTTCCGTAGCAGCAGTGAGTATTATCTACAAGAGGCACTGCAGAAAGTCACCACAGACCTGAACACCATCTTCCAAACCCATAACCACTTCCATGTAGAAGGACAAGGGCAGTAGATACATGGGAAGACCACCATCTGCAAGTCTCCCTCCGAGCCACTCGCCATTCTGACTTGGAAATATATCACCATTCGTTCGCTATCACTGCGTCAAAATCCTGGAACTGCCTCCTTTAATGGCACTGTGGGTCAACTTGCAGCACATGGACTGCAGCCATTCAAGAAGATAGCTCACTACTGTCTTCTCAAGAGATGGCCAATAAATGCTGACCCAGCCAATGACACCCACCTCCCACAAAAGAATAAAAATACTCTCTCTCTGTATTCGGTTATTGTTTTGATCTATGTTTCATTTTATTTAGAAGTTTTTGACATGCAGACGTGCCGAGTTTAATAAAATACCACAAATCCACTCAAATAATTTTTAATGGATGTAATCACTTCTCTCGTGCGCCAGACTTGTCCCTCTTTTTTTTTATTACATCATAAATGTCCTTTTTTTTTCGAAACTTTTACAAGGTTAAATGAAGTGACTTTTATTTTCTTCCTTTGCCCCTGCCCAACTCGAGCAAGTACAATCTTAACTAACTTTTGCCCCCATGGTTTGTACAACAGTGTCAACATAACAAATTTGTTCAGAAAGAAAACAATTTAAGTTTGGAGTCAGTGAATAAAGTGCTTTGAACAACCAAAAAAATGGTTTATCTGAATGTTTGATTTTTCTGAAAGGCAGTGAATAAAAATGTACATACGGTTTAATCCTTTATTGCTATTCAGTGATGTCGTTGTTTTAGCCATGGCATCAATGATGAATTTTTAACTTTGCATGGTGGCTTATTGAGTATGCGCATTAAGCACTGTTGCAGACAAAAATCCATTTGCAATATGAAATTGAATTACTTAAGATTTTTGAAAGTAAACCACATATATTATCCTGTTTGTGTCTTTTTGGGCAGAGTGTTGGGGGTTGTCTGGTGAGGGACTGCCTTTTGTCATGGGGCTCCCTTTTCAATTATATAGTCATACTTCAGCCCATTGAATTTTTTGGCAACCTATCCACACTAATCCCAA